CTTTACATGTTGCGTTTATATTTTTGTTCAGTATAGATATCTATAGAGTAATTGTTGTTTATTGATGTGTTCATGCAGGGCTTATCTGCAAAATAGACCATGGTCTCAGCATGACTCCTTGGGCTATAGCAAATGTAAAAAATCTCAGGGAATTTCCACTGATAGATCTCTTTGATATAGGCTAGTAGTTACTCAGGCTATTGTGCGTTCTCCTTCCAACCGACAGTTTGAAGGATGAATATCACTTTCAGCAGAAAGAAAAAATAGTTCTGTTTTTTCTTTCACAGATGGGACTTTCCACACCTGATTTACTAGGTAATTCTGTGGTGGGACCTTGAACATAGAAAATTGAAAGTGGGTATTTAACATTTCAAACCCTTTCATGGATGAAATGATAGTGATGAGTCAATTGAACCCTTGGAAGAGTTCAGCTTTTAAAACTGACTGTTTGATGGGCAGCGCAAAAACAGGTGAGTGAAGTGAGAGAGAATGAGAGAGAGACAAAGAGAGAGAGAGAGTTAGATAGACATAGCCGCGGGAAGTAGGGGGTGCTGCAGCCCCCCCCCCCCCCCTGATAAATCAAAACAATATACAGTATATATCTAAAAATATATATTTATTTTAAATATATTTTTCCATCAAATTAGTGCACTGGGCCTTTATTAGTCCTGTAAGGGTCAACAGCAAATTCTATAAATTCTATCAATCTCTCTCTCCTTCCTTCCTCACAGTTCTCACACATCATTGACCTGGGTGGCTTGGAGAAAGCCTCATGGAAACTCTAGTTCTCACCTAATATTACCCATTCAGTGATTAACACAAGGAGGGGAGGAACAAATGTAATACAATGGTCCTGTATGGGTGGGTGAGAGGACAGAACCAAAAGCCGTCTTTGAAGATGTGGCCTTCGTGACGGCGCTCCACTCTGAAAACTGAGTGCTTGTTGTTTCAGTAAACGGAGGAAAGGGTTTAGAGGAGCATCCAAAACAAGCTGACAGCCACCACAGCCCACCCAACACGCATGGTTAGGAACCAGGCCGGACCACTCACCTCAACACATAGGCAGGCCCAGAATAGTCCTCAGCGCTGAACTAGGACAGCCAGGACAGGAACCATGACAAGATATTTGACGTTCTTTACTATAGCTTTCATATGGCTGGTTTCTCAATCAGAGGAATGTGCCGAGCTTGTCAGTTTGACTCACCAGAATAAATATTGTAATATATACATTCTCTGACATACGTATTTCTGTGACATAATTACCACCTTGTCTCTCAACTTTGTTTTTGTGAACATCAACGATTTTCACCGCATTTCAAGGCCTAATTTCTCTCCTTAGTAATACCACTTATCTCTCCTGTCCTCGACGTAGATCTGTGAAACTCAAGAGTATAATTCCTACCCTTCATCTCCTCCTAAACAGGATGCTGTCAAGGAGAAGGTGCACTGTCAGCAAGCAGGCGGGGAGAGGGAAAGACAGAGGCAGCGAGAGAGAGGACCCCAAATTACAGGAAGAGCGATGGAGAGAAAAAAAGGAGAGCAGAGCGCACTTTACTCCACTCACATATGGCGGGGCTTTGCTTTTGTAGCCCTGCAAACATAAACACAGGAGAGGATACAGCTGGGGGGAGAGGAGAGGGGCCAGCGAGCCGCTTGCTTACCGAGCCCCGCGTTCACTAAACAATGGATCAGATGAAGCAGGCTCCTTTGGCAGCGGTACAGACACGGCCCAGAAATGCCTTTCTTCTCCACGTTTAGATCTCCCTACTCCAAATATTTACTCTATGGAAACACACCATTTTCCATTGCTTTTGTCCTGTTTGAAAGGAGAGACCTCCCTCACTATCTGGCTCACCTTTTACAGTTTAACATGAGGAGGTTCAGAGAGTAGATGCATCTCTTATCCAGAGAAGCATGAGGACACTGACCTTATTTTATAAATCATAATCTATCATAGAACCACACATTTACTATTTCAGTCATTCTGTCTGGGTGTGGAGAATGAGGTTTCAAGCAGATCTGAGTTCATTTTAGTTGTCTCACCAGTGGATCATTAATATTCAGGCAGTGGACTTCCACTCTGTTTCTAGACTAAACAGGAGGATTATTCCTGTGTGTGTATCCAGTCTACCTCTTATGATGTAGAACAATAAGGAGAGGAAGCCCAGCAGTTAGCAAATTAGACTCAGTTACAGCTACCGGGTCTCCTAGGAAACCAAGACAGGAATGGTTGACCAATGGTGTGTAATTTCCTAATGAAATGAGAGGGGGGAATGTTTTTTTCATTCAGAGACCTCCTTGGAGTATTACTGTAACAACTGTGGGATATTCCCCCCCTTGATGGAGTTGTATGCTTGCTGAGTCACCTAAATGCCCCATAGGCCTTAATGAGACTTAGATACACTCACTACATGGACTCTTATTTACTGTATGCCCATGAATACCAGTGTACTGAACATAGTAGTACTAAACATAGTATATACACAGTAACACTATAGTATAGAATAGCCACTTATTCAAAATCATGTGTCTGTGTGAGTAACATTTTCAACCAAAAAAGGAAAGGGTAAGGTGGTAAATATTATGGCAAGCAAAAAGATATAGAGGACTGAGAAATGGAGCCATAAGGAGGGAAATGTGAGTGGGTGAGAGGATAAGGAAAAATAAGTGAAATCGCTGAAACACAACAATAAGGAGAAGGGAGGAATGGTTGGATGGACAGAGACGAGGAATGGATGGTTTTAGGAATATTATTAATCAAACTACTCATTGAAGCAGCTGATGTATTATTTAAATGACTTCTCTATCCACATGCAAAATGCATGAAATGAAAACAATGCTACATAGAGGGGCAGAATTACCATATTCTGCCAAGGTTATCATCGTCTTCTTAGTTCCTCATGAAGAGCTGTGAGCTCCAACACAGCAGACGGACAGGTAACTGCCAAAATAAAGGAAACACCAACATGAAGTGTCTTAATAGGGCGTTGGGCCACCACGAGGTGCCAGAACAGCTTCAATGCGCCTTGGCATAGATTCTAAAAGCGTCTGGAACTCTATTGGAGGGATGCGACACCATTCTTCTGACTGACACACACACACTTTAAACACCTATGTTCCTTTGAGACCCTCTTTCAAAGTCACTGAGATCTCTTCTTCTAGCCAAGGTAGCCAAAATAATGGGCAACTGGGCATTTTTATACATGACCCTAATCAATATGGGATGTTAATTGCTTAATTAACTCAGGACCTACACCTGTGTGGAAGCACCTGCTTTCAATATACTTTGTATCCCTCATTTACTCAAGCTTTTCCTTTATTTTGGCAGTTACTTGTCATTTCTGTCTGTGTAGAAACCTGAAAGCAGAGGCCTTTCTTTCACCAATCAAACCACACGCTCTGTCTGTCTCTCCCAGACTTCTGCAAGTAAACCCAGCCAGTCAGATGGATGGACAGACACTTGGGTAATTGTGACAGGGAATCCAAAAAGTCCTCTCACTGTCCTGACACAGAGAAAATACCCTAATAGGGAAGTTAGAAAAAGCCAGCAGTCCATTTTTGGTCAAACGTGTTGCCCAAAAGATGGAACAAAATACAGTAAAACAGAGTGAAAAGATGGTAGACACAAGTGGACCCATAATCCAGTGAACACAAACAACTCTGACTCTTGTCTTAGTGTCATTTAGTCCTCAGTGCCTCTTGCTAAACATGTTCCACCTGTTTTTATTTAATGACAACCATCCACAGAGAGGACAGAACAGCACTCGGTTTGTATTCCTCACATCACTGAAGCGCTGGAATCCTTTTAGATAGCTTTTAGACAGGACAACATTGGGAATCATTGGGGCATGATGTACTGCATAGGTGTCTAATTCTTTACAGTCATTTAGTGCATTTCTACATTTCTAAAGCCTTAAGCCTGACTGTCATTGCACTTGAACCAGACTGAGCAAAGAGGGGAGGGAGGTAAATGGGGATTAGTTTGTGGCGTGAGTTTGAGGGGGAGAGAGAGATAAGGGGCTTTTTATTCTCCTCAGTCTCGGATTTGAACAGGTGTGGCAGATGTGTGGTCTGTCTGTGTGCACCTTCTACCACCCAGAAGGGCTACACACACAGCTTTGGCGGCGGAGCTGAGTGTTCTGTTGAGGCACGTATTCGTCTCGTTGTTTATTGATAGCTATCAGCACTTTCTCATTTCAGCAGCTCTTTTCTCAGCCTCCCTTTTACCTTCAGAAGAGAATTGCTAATGGTCTAATGGTGCAGTAGCGGCCTCCACTCTGAGGCCATTAGAAGGAGAGCTGAGCCCAACCACAGCTTATCACATTACAGAGTACTGAGGCGGGAGGGAGCGCCCAGACAGGCACCCACCACAGGCCCTGCCCCACTTCCCATACACACCGTCTATTGAGAAATAATATATAGGCAAACTAGTCAAAGCCTTGCCCTGAAATAGGCTAAAGGATTACACTTTTTTACTGCGGAAGACAGAGAGACAGATAGACTGAGTGAATGACTGAGTGAGCGAGAGGGGGAGTATGGGTGGATTTGGGCCTCGAAATGACAGGTAGTGTCTAATTTAAAGGGATATTTTTGTTAAGACCACCAAGGGTCCTGCCATGTAAGTGGGCAGACATGAGATCCTCAGGCTGGTGGTCACTAATGAGTTCAGCAGACAGCTTGGGCTACCACCACTGACAGTCAGACCATGCCTGGCCCAAGTCAATAGCACATGGCATTACTTTTCTGAATTACAACGCACATTTCCATCCTGCACAAACATACATGAGCACGCACACACATGGTTTGTCTACACTGTTGACTTCTCACACACACAAGTATTTATCTATCTATAATTTCAGGACAGGTTCCAGTAACCAAAACTATAACATTTGTTAAAAGTGTTTAATTTTTCATTTTAAAAAACACATTGAAAAAAGCATAGAATAATAAAAGTCGAAAGCAAAATACATTTGCATGTCGTCATCTCTCCCCCAGAATCATTTCTTCCACAGGAACTTATCATTCCTCTTCCAGAGTGACATATTCCCTCTCTCCTCTCCTCCTCCTCCTCCCCCTGTTCCTCCTCTGGCCCTGACGCTAGTGCTCTCACATACCCTCTCAACCTCCGACAGGTCCGTCAGTTTGTTGATCCTCTCCTCGTTGCCCTCCTCCAGAATGTCCCAGAAGTCTCTACGGCTCTTCTTTGACCTCTCGGGGGCTAGAGAGGAAAGTGGTGTAATGGGGTGTGTGATGGGTGTGGTGATGGATCGAGACAGGGTTGTAGTAGTAGAAGAAGGGCCTGGGACGGGTGTTGTGAGGGGCCGAGGGCGGGGTGTGCTGGGAGGTGTTCTAGGGTGGCAGGAGGCAGGTGTGGCAGAGTGAGAAGTGGGTGTAAAGACAGCCCGTGAGGTAGGGGTTTTTGTAGAGCCCCTCTGAGGCTCTGAGGGGGCCTTGCTTCTGGGTCGCAGCAGGTCGTCCAGGATGGAGGTGTCTCCTAGCAGCTCTGTGAGGAGGACCTGCTGGCTGGGGGGCGACGGAGGAGGAGAGGAAGGCTGGGCTCTGTACCGCTGCCTCCCCACAGCCTCACTCTTCCTGGAGGAGGACAGCAGGCCGCTTCTCCCTCCCTGGGGGCTGGCTGTGGGCTTAGCCTGGGGATGGCTGAGAGCTGAAGAAGAGGAGGAGGAAACAGGTTGAGCTCCAGAGGCCCCAGGTCCCAGAAGACTACTCTTACTGTTGTCCAGGTCTGAGCTGGAGCACTGAGCAGCTCTGGACGTTCCACTATTACCACTCTTCTTCTTCCTTCCTCTGGCGTTCCGGACCCCCTGCTTCTCCTGCTCCTCAGGAGAGGGAACATCCCTCTGGGGTTCTGCAACGGACCTATGTGGGGTTCTAGGCTCTGCTTGGGGTTCTAGAGCAGCTCTCTGGTTCCTTTTGGAGCTGGGTCTGTGTTTGGCTGTAGAGGAGGAGGAAGGCTTTGAGGCTGTCCTGTCAACTTTGGGCTGGGCTGTGTGTGGTTCTGCGAAGTTCTCCCTGATGATGGAAGCCAGCTCAGGGCCCTGGTCAATGTAGTACTGTCGTAGCTGAGCCAGTCTCTGGGCAGAGGTACTCCTCAGAACCTCCTCAGCAAACTGTCTCAATGAACCGGATCCAAATACACACGCCATCTCCTCCAGCTGCTGCCTACATGGGGAACACACACACAGATACACGTGCACACACATACACACACACGCAGGATTCGGCCCAGAGAGCGTAGGAAAGTTGCATGATAACATATTATAAACTACCAGAAATAGGAAAATGTTGTCTTGAAAGTAGGTGTGCTTGGTACTTCATGGGTTACATCTTGCACGGATATACACTATATATACAAAGGTATGTGGACACCCCTTCAAATTAGTGGATTCGGCTATTTCAGCCACACCCGTTGCGGACAGGTGTATAAAATCGAGCACACAGCCATGCAATCTCCATAGACAAACATTAGCAGTAGAATGGCCTTACTGAAGAACTCAGTGACTTTCAACGTGGCACTGTCATAGGATGCCACCTTTCCAACAAGTCAGTTTGTCAGATCTCTGCCCTGCTAGAGCTGCCCCAGTCAACCGTAAGTGCTGTTATTGTGAAGAGGAAACGTCTAGGAGCAACAACGGCTCAACCGCAAAGTGGTAGGCCACACAAGCTCACAGAACGGGACCGCAGAGTGCTGAAGCGCATAGCGCGTATAAATAGTCTGTCCTCGGTTGCAACACTCACTACCGAGTTCCAAACTGCCTCTGGATGCAACGTCAGCACAAAAAAATTGTTCATCGGGAGCTTCATGTAATGGGTTTCCAGGAAACCTTAACTCTACAGCGTACAATGACATTCTAGACTATTCTGTGCCTCCAACTTTGTGGCAACAGTTTGGAAGGCCCTTTCCTGTTTTAGCATGAGAATGCCCCTGTGCAGAAAGCGAGGTCCATACAAAAATGTTTTGTCGAGATTGGTGTGGAAGAACTTGACTGGCCTGCACAGAGCCCTGACCTCAACCCCATCGAACACCTTTGGGATGAGTTGGAACGCAGACTGTGAGCCGGGCCTAATCGTCAAACATCCGTGCCCGACCTCACTAATGCTCTTGTGGCTGAATGGAAGCAAGTCCCTGCAGCAATGTTCCAACATCTGGTGGAAAGCCTTCCCAGAAGAGTGGAGGCTGTTATAGCAGCAAAGGGTAGACCAACCCCATATTAATGCTCATGATTTTGGAATGAGATGTTCGACGAGCAGGTGTCCACATACCTTTGGTCATGTAGTGTATATTTAGGGTACATTTCTGATAGTCATGGAATGATATAGGGTCCTATTTCTAAGACAAGAGCAACCGTACCAAAAACAACATGGACTAACCATATTCTGTCACAGCCATTAAAACAGGAACAAACCATATTCTGTCACAGCCATTAAAACAGGAACTAACCATATTCTGGTCACAGCCATTAAAACAGGAACTAACCATATTCTGTCACAGCCATTAAAACAGGAACTAACCATTTCTGTCACAGCCATTAAAACAGGAACTAACCATTTTCTGTCACAGCCATTAAAACAGGAACTAACCATTTCTGTCACAGCCATTAAAACAGGAACTAACCATATTCTGTCACAGCAATTAAAACAGGAACAAACCATATTCTGTCACGGCCATTGGCTAATCTTTAGCAAGGTTCTGGGAAATGGTTGAGCAGGTTAGCTCAGGTGGTCTCACACACACACAGAGAACCCCTTTGTACCATTTGAGGGTGCTCCACACCATAGCGGTGGTTAGATTCGGCTCTCTGCCCTGCCCTACCAGGAATACCTCCCCTCACCTTCGGATTGTTCCGGGGGTCTCTCCGATGATGACGGTGGTGTGTCGGGTGGGGTGGTGGACGCTCCTGATGGTGTGTGAGACTGGGTGGTCCACACTAGGTCTGTGCACAACCCTCTGCACTGCTCCCACCAAACCAACATCATTATGGGAAGTATGGAACGGTGGAGTGTGTTTGGGCTGGGTCTGTAATATACACATGCATCCGCACACACACACTTGATGAATGTATTCTAATCACACTGATAAGGAAGGGACAAGGGAAAGGGGTTAGGGAGTTGATTTGGAATAGGACACTAGACTATCAACTCGTTGGGTTGTTTGGGCTTCACCAGGTAGTGGGGGTGTGTACCTCCTGTGTGTCCCAGAGTTCATTGGCTGGAAGCTGGGTGTACTTCCTGCGTTCAAACACGTCTCTGAGAGCGGCTCTGCTGATTCGCTCCTCGGCCTTGCTCCCGCCCACCACATGTTGGTTAGAGTGGGTGTAAACCACCTCCTGTACACCACCTACAACACACACACGAATAGGAAGAAGTCTGTGCTTAATGGCAAATTCTACTCTCACTCTTGGTATATAATTGGGCCCGTACCCATGAAGCATCTCAGAGTAGCAGTCCTGATCTACAGTCGTGGTCAAAAGTTTTGAGAATGACACATATACTAATTTTCACAAAGTCTGCTGCCTCAGTTTTGATGATGGCAATTTGCATATACTCCATAATGTCATGAAGAGTGATCAGATGAATTGCAATTAATTGCAAAGTCCCTCTTTGCCATGAAAATGAACTTAATCCCCAAAAAACATTTCCACTGCATTTGAGCCCTGCCAAAAAAGGACCAGCTGCCATCATGTCAGTGATTCTCTCGTTAACACAGGTGAGAGTGTTGACGAGGACAAGGCTGGAGATCACTGTCATGCTGATTGAGTTAGAATAATAGACTGGAAGCTTTAAAAGGAGGGTGGTGCTTGAAATCATTGTTCTTCCTCTGTTAACCATGGTTACCTGCAAGGAAACACGTGCCGTCATCATTGCTTTGCACAAAAAGGGCTTCACAGGCAAGGATATTGCTGCTAGTAAGATTGCACCTAAATCAACCATTTATCGGATCATCAAGAACTTCAAGGAGAGAGGTTCAATTGTTGTGAAGAAGGCGTCAGGGCGCCCAAGAAAGTCCAGCAAGCGCCAGGACCGTCTCCTAAAGTTGATTCAGCTGCGGGATCAGGGCACCACCAGTGCAGAGCTTGTTCAGGAATGGCAGCAGGCAGGTGTGAGTGCATCTGCATGCACAGTGAGGCGAATACTTTTGGAGGATGGCCTGGTGTCAAAGAGGGCAGCAAAGAAGCCACTTCTCTCCAGGACAGACTGATATTCTGCAAAAGGTACAGGGATTGGACTGCTGAGGACTGGGGTAAAGTCATTTTCTCTGATGAATCCCCTTTCCGATTGTTTGGGGCATCCGGAAAACAGCTTGTCCGGAGAAGACAAGGTGTGCGCTACCATCAGTCCTGTGTCATGCCAACAGTAAAGCATCCTGAGACCATTCATGTGTGGGGTTGCTTCTCAGCCAAGGGAGTGGGCTCACTTACAATTTTGCCTAAGAACACAGCCATGAATAAAGAATGGTACCAACACATCCTCCGAGAGCAACTTATTCCAACCATCCAAAGAACAGTTTGGAGACGACCAGTGCCTTTTCCAGCATGTGGCCCAGAAGTTAATTGACAGCATGCCAGGGCGGATTGCAGAGGTCTTGAAAAAGAAGGGTCAACACTGCAAATATTGACTCTTTGCATAAACTTAATGTAATTGTCAATAAAAGCCTTTGACACTTATGGAATGCTTGTAATTATACTTCAGTATACCATCGTAACATCTGACAAAAATATCTCATAACACTGAAGCAGCGAACTTTGTGAAGACCAATACTTGTGTCATTCTCAAAACTTTTGACCACGACTGTACTCTGAGATGCTTTATGAATACAGCCCCTGATGTTTGCTGGCATACATGATACAACAGATTATTTGAAAATCCCACTTTGACCTTACCTAACACATTGTCAATCGTTCCACAGGGCAGTCCTTTGGCAGAAGGGACAGTCTGGTTCGCGTTTGGGTTTTTCAGACCTGTAAACGTCCCAGCTCCATGTCTGTCTCTCTGTGGGTCTGGGCCATGATTGTGGTTCTGTGGGGCTGTAACAGATCGGACTCTTTTGACTGGAGTGTGGTTTTCGTCTGAGGAGGTGAAGGTCTCTATGTCCTCTGTTTGTCTGGTTCTTCTGCTCTGGTCTACTGGTCTGTTGCTGGTCTCTCTCTTACTACCACCATCTCTCCCCATCGCCCTCCTTCTCAGGTGTGCGGGGGGTCTCTTAAGCACATGGGTTTGTGCACCAGGTCTCGTCAGCACCTCAATGTCTATGTCAATATCCTCAGACTCAGAGTCAAGCACCACCTGGTGCCTTCTGGGAACTGGAGTTTTAGTGTTAGATCGTTTGCCTCCGTTGGAGGGGGGTGAATCTTCATCACTGTCGTCCTCCACCCTCCTCAGATGTATTCCTTGTTTCAGATTTGGTATTTTTCTCCCCATGTCATCACTCTCTCCTGACAGTGCAACAGGACCATGGTCTCGCCCCCTCCGTCCATCCTCTCTCCCTCCATTCCTTTCTTCCTCTCTCTCAGAGCCACTGGAGACGTCCCAGTCATTCTTCAGAGGAGCTGCATCCAGGTGGTTTCCACCCTTGGGGGCCAATGTAGGGTTCTGGGGGGCCCCACTCCCTGCGGTGCTGGGGCCCTTTGGTGCCATGGCAGAAGTGTCTTCATCCCTGTCCTCCTCAGAATCACTCCTTCCCCCCTCACTCTGGCTATGCTCTCCTGATTCTGACCCGGACCCAGCCCTGAACCCTGACCTCTGGAGCAGCCTGGAGAAGCCATGCTGGAGGAGACTGAGTCGGCCAGGAGGGGTAGAGGTGTTCCCCTTCTCCTGCACCTTACTCCTGCCCCCCCGTCCCCCCTCCTCGTCCTCCTCACTGCCACTGCTGAAGTCCAGTACCCCCCTGGGTGTTCCCCTGGGGGTCCCAGAGGCCCCTACACTGCCGATCGCCCCTCCATTGCCCAGTTCACAGGGGTCCCTTGCGGAAACCTCCCCAGCCTCCTGCAACACAAGGTCAACGGAGTCTTCATATTTAAAAAATATAATAACATATCTGTCCAGTATTTTTCTAAGGAAAGAGTGTCAAGCCTTCAGTCCACAAGTATAGAGACCTAGGGCTCTATTTTCGGCTGCCGTTAAGCCAGCGCAATTGTCAAACACACGTTAGTTGGCAAATTCGACCTGTTAAAGCCAGCGCTCTGCTATTTTCCAACCCTTGCGCCAGGATTGGTAATTTACCTGTCTTATATGAGCTTGCTTGCGCTAAGGTGGGAGGGGTGGCAATATCTGAGGTTTGTCGTTAAAAACATTGGCCACAGTGCCAATTTCAGGCATCGCTGGTGGGCATATTTAAACCAACTGAAAGCTGGTCTTAGAGGTAACGCGGTTGGTTATGGCATGGCTTTTGACAGCGGAAGCGCAGCCTATCCAGGCGTGATGCACAGTTCCCATATGCACATGGAACAAGAGAGGTGCTTTTTTTTTGTCCATAAACCTCATATTTAGAAATATAAAAATGTAATGTTTTTTCCCATTTTGTTTAATTAGATTTTTTTTAAATCAAGCATAGCCTCCCCTCCTCTCAATGAAGACTACTTTTTTTTGTCCTGCCCAATGCATTCGCTAAGTAGTCAAGACTATTGATAAAGGGTTTGGCTGGTGAGACCACTTTGAAATAAATCTTCATCACCAAAGCTTTATTTAAAGATCAAGTTTGACAGCAGCAAAACAGTGAGGACATCCCCTTTTTATCTATGTATTGTATATTATTTTTAGCTAGCTCTTTTTTTTTGTGTGTGTGTGTGTGTAAAAACCCCTTCATGTAGGCTACATGTTCATATGCCCATCATGGAACGAGAGATGCGATGTTGCCGGTGACCCTCATATTTACAAACATTTAAGTTATTTTCCTGTAACAACTGCTTGTTTTCTTTTCATTTGATAAAAATAACTAAAATGTAGGCTACCATTTCCTTACGAGAACGAAAGCTGGTTCAACAGCAATACGTAGGGTGTCTTTCTTATCCTGGCCATGCATTAGCCTATTCATAAAAAGGTCATTAAAATGGTTTACTCCTGAGGCTTTTGCCATCATGCCTTTAATTATTCACAATTTACATAGGCCTACCTGCAGTGCATGCTCCATTCGGCTTGTATCCATCCCCATTTCCAAAGAGCGCCTCTTGTCCGGTCACCAAAGACGTGCTCCTTAACATATTCAAATTCTTCAGTCGTATAACGCCATATCAACGGTAAGCCTAGGCTAGATCTTGTTTATTGAGAACGTGCCTCAAACATTCAGTACAATTTACAGGAGCCTAGTATTTTTTGAGAAGTGCGATGCGTAAATACATGTAGGCCTATATTCATTTTAGCCAATTACAACAATGTTGACTGTCAACACTCCAAACATATTGAGAAAACACTATGTTTTTTTACTGTTGTTATTACTCGTTAGGCTACTGTAGTCTATGCTATTTCATAAACTGTAGTATTAATCCACAATTGACTAGGACGAGAATATTCCGTGGCTCCAGCCGAATTGATGACAATGCAAAGATTGTGAGACGACATGCAATATTAAGCCATGAAACACGTCGATTAACCAGTGAGCCAGCTACTGCGCTCATAATTCCCGCTGTGAAAATAACTAAAATATTTCGGACAAACCAAAGACGCTACCGCCAGCGCTATGATTTACCATTGCGTTAGGTTTGGTAAAAAAGCGCCACTAATGAGATTGACAAAGCTATGGAGTCTTCTGTATGTTGTATTTGGTTGTGACCTGGGGCTGATGGCATCACCAGGCTACAGAACAGGGTTGGTCATTCATAAAGCATTTAGCAGTGCTTGGTAATGCAAAGATGCTTGTAACAATAAATCATCCACACATAAATGTGACATGCCGTGAGTGGTGATGTCATAAATACAAAACAATAGGATACATTGTAGCTTTTATAGCGTGCATGGGAGTTATGCGAGGGCCTTTATGAGTGCGACCACCTACAGCGATACTAATCTTATGGTTTTTGCCAACCAGATGACTCTTCCGTAGTGTGTTACTACACCCTGGTGTATTGTGTATGGCTGTTAGTCTGAATGGCCCCAGTACATACCCAGCCTTATAAAAGGACAGTTGTGTTGGGTCTTAGCTGGGAACTGTCACAGGCCAAACGATTGGGTAAATAAATACTACACAACAGAACAGACAGCCTTCAGTGTGGTCTGGTCCTGTCATTACAGAGGGATAATTATGTCCATCTGTTGGGACACTATCACAGAGAGAGAGAGAAAGAGAGAGATGAGGGGGAGGGGAAAAGGGGGAGAGAGGAAGGAAAGAGAGACGAGTAAGAAGGGGCCGGTGAAGGAGAGACAGGAAGACCCACGTGTGAGGAATCGTCTCTTTCACGTGGGAATGGAGGAAAGAGAGATCCGCCTGGGAAAGGAGAGGGAGTGAGGGATGGGAAAGACATGTGCCCCTGTCACGGGTCCCTGAGAAAGGCAGTTACTCACGCTCTTCCTCTCCTCCTCCTCCTCTTCCCCTGTGTGTGTGCTGGCCGTCATTACTCCTACCTCCACTCGTCCCTCCCGCTGAGAGGAACACACGCACACACTTGAGCATACATGTACATAAGCAGAGATAGAAACACACAAAAACATGTAACACACAGTACTAGGGTTGTCCACTCAGGCTGTTTGACCTCTGACCTCCAATATTCTCCTGGTGAGGCAGGTCCCCTGGGTCTGCAGCCTGAAGAGGTTCTGTATCCCAAAAAGCTCCCCCTTCTGGCCGTCGGTCCCCTGCACTGCCTCAAAGTACCGCCGGGCACTCTCCTTACCCACCACAGAAGACTGCAACTGCTGCAGAGTCACAGACAGGGATGGAGGGAGAGAACAGTCAGAATGATGGTTTCCCCATCTAAATACCAATATCATCTGGGTCGTCCATTTCATTTCAGCAAGCCATTGCTTTGAAATGGTTTCTGTAGTTAAGAACATATAGGATAAGCATTCCTGCAACATTATTTTGTTGAAATATAATTTGATCTGAGAAACTAAGCTAAGTTATTTCACCCAAATTGGCCATTTCAATTTATAGGATTCATAGAATATTCAATAAATATAGTATCCAACTTTGAACCAAACCTCTTCTTAACACTGATTAACATGGGAGGAATCCAAATAAAAATGGTAAAGTCACCCACAGAACCCCCAAAGCTCACACCAACGTCCAGTATATAGTATCAGTTCTCTATGTTTGACAAGTAGTATGAAGCTGCGGCTTGGAGTATTGTTTATTCATACTATGTAATATATTCTCAGTGAATTTGGTGATGTTTTTCCCCCCCTGTTCAGAGAAATTTGCCATTGAAGTAGCTTGCATTTCCCCCCATAAATTAGTGTGAAAGTACAAGGCTTTGCCCACAAGATATCGCTGTTCCTGCTACTGCCACACCCTTTTATCCATTTTGCTGGTCTCTTGTGTTTATTAAATGGTTCACAACATGTTCTTTGCAACTTTGAGTAGAAAACTAATAGCTTTTGCTCATGATGAAAATACATGGTGTTGTTATCTTCACAATTCAAGCCAGTCCTCCATGAAAGAAATGTAGAAATCCTCATACACAATAATGCGAATGTGCAGACAGCCTACTGTGATGAAAGGCTTAGGATGACTGTACCTGTTTGTAGACCTGGCGCAGGTAGATGACCTCCTCCACTGTTCCCAGAGAGATGAGTCTGAACACTGTCACGTCCCTGCACTGGCCTATACGATACGCCCTGAGGAGAGGTCACACACTGTCACGTCCCTGCACTGGCCTATACAATACGGCCTAAGAGAGGTCAAACCATGGAAATAAAAAGGAATAGAAGAGGCGTCCCCATTCAGGTCAATAAGCCATAATGAGTGACCTATGGCTCCCACACCAGCACAGAGATCACTTTTGTTAACACTGGCATTGTGTATACAGACATAGAATATGATACAACCCATTGGAAAGAACCCTGTAAGGTTATATGACTGTCATTCTATGTAAGTACATGGTATATATGGATATTGCAGCATACCTGTCAATTGCCTGCAGGTCATTGGCAGGGTTCCAGGTGGGATCAAACAGGATCACAACGTTGGCCCCTACAAAGTTCAGGCCCAGACCCCCTGCCCTGGGGGGAGAAACAGACAAGCGAACCTACAGTCAGTGGTCCATTCATACCAAACATATATGCGTCCCAAATGGCACGCTATTCCCTATAGAGTGCACTACTTTTGACCAGGGGCCGTGCACTATGTAAGGAATAGGGTGCTCTGTTAAAGCAGAGCTATGAGGAGTGGTGGGAGTGGCACTGACATTGTGGAGACCAGGCAGAGGTTGATGTCAGGGCAGCTGTTGAACTCTTTGACGATCTTCAGCCTCTCTCTGGACTTGGTGTTGCCGTCCAGTCTGCTATACTCCAGCCCCTCTGCCATGCAGTAGCTCTCCAGCACGTCCAACAGCTAAAGGGTTAACACAACACATTGAGAACACTTCCTTTTGGTGACGTGGCGGGTTATCACAAATATACAGTGCATTCGGAAAGTATTCAGACCTCTTCCCTTTTTCCAAATGTTGTTACGTTACAGCCTTACTCTAGAATATATTAAATTTAAAAAATGTCCTCAATCTACACACAATATCCCATAATGATAAAGCGAAAACAGGTTTTTTGAAATGTTTGCAAATTCATTACAAATACAAAACAGAAATACCATATTTACATAAGTATTCAGACCCTTTGCTATGAGACTCGAAATTGAGCTCAGGTGCATCCTGTTTCATTTTACATTTTAGTCATTTAGCAGACGCTCTTATCCAGAGCGACTTACAGTTAGTGAGTGCATACATTTTTCAAACTGGCCCCCCGTGGGAAACGAACCCACAACCCTGGCGTTGCAAGCGCCATGCTCTACCATCTGAGCTACAGGGGACCTGTTTCCATTGATCATCCTTGATATGTTTCTACAACTTGATTGGAGTCCACCTGTGGTAAATTCAATTGATTGGACATGATTTGGAAAGGCACACACCTGTCTATAAAAGTCCCACAGTTGACAGTGCATGTCAGAGCAACAACCAAGCCATGAGGTCGAAGGAATTGTCCGTTCTGGGGAAGGGTACCAAAAAATGTCTGCAGCATTGAATAATAATAATGTCCCCAAGAACATAGTGGCCTCCATCATTCTTAAATGGAAGAAGTTTGGAACCACCACAACTCTTCCTAGAACTGGCCACCTGGCCACCTGGCCAAACGGAGCAATCGGGGGAGAAGGGCCTTGGTCAGGGCGGTGACCAAGAACCCGATGGTTACTCTGACAGAGCTCCGGAGTTCCTCTGTGGAGATGGGGGAACCTTACTGAAGGACAACCATCGCTGCAGCAATCAGGCCTTTATGGTAGAGTGGCCAGACGGAAGCCACTCCTCAGTAAAAAGGCAAATGACAGCCCGCTTCGAGTTTGCCAAAAGGCAAGCGTCACGTCTGGAGGAAACCTGGCACCATCCCTACGGTGAAGCTGGTGATAGTGGTGGCAGCATCATGCTGTGGGGATGTTTTTCAGCAGCAGGGACTGGGAGACTAGTCAAAATCGAGGGAAAGATGAATGGCGCAAAGTACCTCAGACTGGGGCGAAGGTTCACCTTCCAACAGGACAATGACCCTAAGCACACAGCCAAGACAACGCAGGAGTGGCTTCGGGACAAGTCTCTGAATGTCCTTGAGTGGCCCAGCCAGAGCCCGGACTTGAACCTGATCGAACATCTCTGGAGAGACCTGAAAATAGCTGTGCAGCGACGGTCCCCATCCAACCTGACAGTGCTTGAGATGATCTGCAGAGAAGAATGGGAGAAACTCCACAAATACAGGTGTGCCAAGCTTGTAGCGTCATACCCAAGAAGAATCGAGGCTATAATCGCTGCCAAAGGTGCTTCAACAAAGTAAAGGGTCTGAATACTTACGCACAAAAAAATATAAACCTGTTTTTGCTTTGTCATTATGGGTTAATGTGTGTACATTGATGAGGGGGAAAAAACAACCATTTTAGAATAAGGCTGTAACATAACAAAATGTGGAAAAAGTCAAGGGGTCTGAATACTTTCCGAATGCACTGTATGCTTAAAGGGATAGTTTCCTCATCGTGTAAGCAGTCTATGGACAAAGTCAGTAAAACGCCAATCCATGCTTTGGTTATGTCTGAACTAGAGCTCTGACATCATCTAAAGCCCAGTACATGATCTCACCATTATCTACCACAGCCATGTTCCTACACACACACACACTAACACCCCTACAGATCCCCCAAATCTCACACATCTACAGTACATACACACATAGACAGACACACACGCACACACAGAGAGACACGCGAGCACACACACATACACACACAAACAGTTACACACAAATTACCGAATCCCTGTGGCTACAAATACAACACAACGTTTTACCTTAGTGGAGAGCGAGAATAACAGTACTTTGTCTTTTCTCTGCACGTAATGTTTCAACAACCTCTGTAGAACCTATGACAGGGTGTAGAGGAGGAGGGATATTAACCAAGGATCCAAATGAGGCAATACTTCTCTTAAAAACGTGATACAACCTGGTACTATATGTGAACATATGAGCCTACCTAACTGCCTTTGCCATTCACGCGACATGACTTTTGACCTTGTGACCCACCTACCTTCATCTTTCCGCTGTACATGGGGTCTGACATGGCCTCGAATGCTGCCTGCTTGCATCTCTCTGTGAAGTCAGGGAACTTCTGGAACACCTTCTCACAGATCTCATTCACATACTGCTCCTGAGAGAACACAGTATGTCCAGATGTTAAACCAAACAGAGCTTTTCACTTTCAGTAAAATTATAACTAGGTCTTTACTTGTGAGAGCGTACCTGTTTTTTGCTGGTGTTCCACTTAGACTGCAGTAAAGCCACGTGGTTGGCCACCTTCCTGAGAATAGCCAAGTAACTGAAGTACAGGTCTGTCACACGCACACCCCTAGCATTCACCTGTAGTTTACAAGAGATCAAACGTCATAGGGAAGGCCTATCACAATAAAGTCAACATTACTGACAACATTGTGACCATTGCTTAGTCTAGGTGAACTACAAAGACCAAACAATGATTCAAACCTTGATTGATGATGTTTACTGACCTAAAGAATGCAAAACGTAAATTAACAGATTTCTTCAGAGGTTCATAGAGGGTCATATAGAGGTTATAACACAGCTGTTCCTGTTATAAGCTGACCTTGAAGCAGCATTTCCGGCGGGAGCGTCCGCTGTGACAGTCACACTTCTCTGAGGAGCGCAGCAGCAGAGTGACGTCCTCCGTGTCCAGTACCGCCTGGTACACCGTCTGCTGGAACGACGTCAGCGAACAGTACACCACCTGGCCATAGATGGAGGCGCCATTCACTTAGTGAGATGTTTGAAACCCCCTACTAGACCAGGGATATTCGCATTCAAGGCCAGAGAATTCATTAAATTAGAGTTGCAAAATTCTGGTAACTTTCCCAAAATTCCCAGGTTTTTCATAAATCCCTGTTGGAAAATTCCTGAAATCAGGAGGGAATAAGCAGGAATACTCCAACTAGGATTTCTGGAAAAGTTACCAGAATTGTACAACCCTACTTCATTAACATTAACCCTGTGTGGAAGTCTCCACCCACCCTGTCGTCCTTCTTGGGCAGCTGCTCTCTGATAAGAGCCTTGGTCCTCCGGAGAAACCAGTGGGAGAGCTTCCTGGCCAGGGCCCGGACCGCCCTCCTGCCCATCGCTAGGGCCCGCTTAGTTACGCTGTGCTTCTGCCCCAGTTCAATGGGGTCCGAAAACGTATTCTTGAAGTTACCCAGGCTGCCAAGGCAACGAGGGATGGCCCTGAAATACACAAAGGAAGAAGGTAAATCCAAAGAGAAAGAGTGGTTTAGAAGGAAATGGTGGTACTGGGTATTGGGAGGTTTTTTTGGTGACCTCTCGACTATACATCATTGCACTAATAAGGGTCTAAATAAGGGGAATCAGTCTTACTGTAGTAACAGTTATAGAAACAGTAGTAGTAGTTATAGTGCCAGTGTAGACCCACCAGTCCATGACACACCAGAGCTCGTCCAGGTTGTTCTGCAGGATGGTGCCAGTGAGGCCCACTCTGACCTGACACCTCAGCTCCTTCATTGCCCCAGTGATCTGGGAGTTAGGGTTCTTGATCTTGTGGGCCTCGTCCACTATCACAGCAGACCAGTCAATGCTGGAATGTAAGGCAGGCTTATAGGTGGAGTTTCACGATAAGAATACAAACAGGTCTACTAAGGTTTCAGGCTAGAGTTGAAGGCCAACACACCTAATTATCTTAGCTAATGTTACCTGTTAAACTGCTCCAGACAGAGGCGTAGGGTCTCGTAGGTGGTGAGGGCGATCTCAGAGCGTCCCCTCCTGATGCGAGCCAGCTCCTCCTCCTTCCTCAGACCGTGGACCACCACGCTCCGGAAGTGACCCCACGTCTCCAGCTCCTCTTTCCAGTTATACAGCACCGACAGAGGGGCCACAATCAGGAACACCTGGGCACAACCATGGAGAACATTACAACACCTACACAGGACCCTAACAGAGAGCATGGACATGCACATGTGAGTTTAATTTTTTTTGTAACTATCAGTCAGTTATCTGCCACAAAGAGTGCTACTCTTGTGGGAAATATATAGCTCAATTTCTACCTTTTGGGGTTTGCATTGCTCTGTGGGGACCTGAGTGAGAAGAAACTGAGGCCTGTTCTTCTCAATGTCTTCCCATGTCCCTGTTTTACCCAGCACAGCAGCCAGGAAACCAATGACCTGTTGACAGACACAAACACGTCAGTTATGAACAGCAGGTCTTTCTTCACATGGTAACGCCAATGGTGATAATACTCTAGCTACATACAGTCAACAATCAGGTTTCTGCAGAGACAGTGAGTCTAGTTTTTACCTGGATGGTCTTGCCCAGGCCCATGTCATCTCCAAGGATACATCCTCTGGACTGGGCATAGTTGTCATAGATGAACTGGATCCCTTCCTTCTGGTAGTACCTCAGGTACCTGTTGACATCTAATTAAGGCCCCATTCATACAGCAAATACAACCTGGGAAGCCCAGCAAAATCCCAGCTTCATCGTTAACAGCTCACGTACCTGTTGATGGTATATGGGACTGCCACACCACTCTGTGACAACACAAAGGGCTCTGATGGACCGGGGGGTGTCTGGCTGCTGAGGAATAGAGGCTTCTCCTGGGCAGACACTACACTGGTAGAGGACTGGTTTGTGTCTGATCTCAGGAGTTTACAGACTGGAAAGACTGCCTCCTCTTCTTCATCTTCATCATGTTGATCTGTGAACTTCACCAATGCCATGTCCTCACCATGAGATGTGGAGGGGAGTTTCTGGATTGTCCCCTCTCGTAGTAGGGTGCCATCTCTGGGGCTGGGAGCGAGGCATCTGTCGCCCTCATGCCACACTGTTTATGGGAGGGAGGGAAAATCATGGCTTGGTTAGGCAGAGTTATGTCAGGTTAGCTAAATAGGTAGACAGCAAGCAGTGTTGGGGAGTAGTGAACAACATGTAATTCAACTACATTTTGCAGTAGCTTGGTAGTAACGTCGTTAGTTGAACTACATTCAAATCTTGGTAGTGTTTCCTGTAGTTAGCCAATTACTTTTTTTGCCATGTAGCGGTGTAGCTAACTACTGGAACTACACACTACATTCTTTGCAAAAGGAAATGAAGATATGGGTGAAGTAAGCAAGAATGTACTTTCTTTTTGGCATCAGACATGCTGAATGCTCACTTGAAACAGTTTGTTTTTAATAGGCTAAATTACCAGTGGCGACCCATTATTCAGGGCAGGTGGGGCAGAGCAGCCCCACCTGTTTAGCTATTTAAAAAAAAATATATATATATATATACACACACAGTACAAGTCAAAAGTTTGGACACACCTACTCATTCAAGGGTTTTTCTTTATTTTTACTATTTTTTGCATTGTAGAATAATAGTGAAGACATCCAAACCATGAAATAACACATATGGAATCATGTAGTAACCAAAAAAAGTTAAATAATTCTTCAAATAGCCACCCTTTGCCTTGATGATAGCTTTGCACACTCTTGGCATTCTCTCAACCAGCTTCATGAGGTAGTCACCTGGAATGCATTTAAATTAACAGGTGTGCCTTCTTAAAAGTTAATTTGAGGAATTTCTTTCTTAATGCATTTGAGCCAATCAGCTGTGTTGTGACAAGGTAGGGTTTATCCCTATTTGATTTTTGGTTCCAACCGTCGTGTCTTTGTGAGACGCGGTGTGGGTGAACGGATGATCTCTGCATGTGTAGTTCCCACCGTAAAGCATGGAGGTGTTGTTATGGTGCTTTGCTGGTGACACTGTCTGTGATTTTTTTAGAATTCAAAGCACACTTAACCAGCATGGCTACCACAGCATTCTGCAGCGATATGCCATCCCATCTGGTTTGGGCTTAGTGGGACTATCATTTGTTTTTCAATAGGACAATGACCCAACACACCTCCAGGCTGTGTAAGGGTTATTTGACCAAGAAGGAGAGTGATGGAGTGCTGCATCAGATGACCTGGCCTCCACAATCCCCCGACCTCAACCCAGTTGAGATGGTTTGGGATGAGTCGGACAGCAGAGTCAAGGAAAAGCAGCCAACAAGTGCTCAGCATATATGGGAACTCCTTCAAGACTGCTGGAAAAGCTTTCCAGGTGAAGCTGGTTGAGAGAATGCCAAGAGTGTGCAAAGCTGTCATCAAGGCAAAGGGTGGCTATTTGAAGAATCTCAAATATAAAATATATTTTGATTTGTTTAACACTTTTTGGTTACTACATGATTCCATATCTGTGATTTCATAGTTTTGATGTCTTCACTATTATTCTACAATGTAGAAAATAGTAAAAATTAAGAAAAACCCTTGAATGCGTAGGTGTGTCCAAACTTTTGACTGGTACTGTATATATACAGTGGGGAGAACAAGTATTTGATACACTGCCGATTTTGCAGGTGTTCCTACTTCCAAAGCATGTAGAGGTCTGTAATTTTTTATCATATATACACTTCAACTGTGAGAGACAGAATCTAAAACAAAAATCCAGAAAATCACATTGTATGATTTTTAAGTAATTCATTTGCATTTTATTGCATGACATAAGTATTTGATACATCAGAAAAGCAGAACTTAATATTTGGTATAGAAACCTTTGTTTGCAATTACAGAGATCATACACGTTTCCTGTAGGTCTTGACCAGGTTTGCACACACTGCAGCAGGGATTTTGGCCCACTCCTCCATACAGACCTTCTCCAGATCCTTCAGGTTTAGGGGCTGTCGCTGGGCAATACGGACTTTCAACTCCCTCCAAAGATTTTATATTGGGTTCAGGTCTGGAGACTGGCTAGGCCACTCCAGGACCTTGAGATGCTTCTTACGGAGCCACTCCTTAGTTGCCCTGGCTGTGTGTTTCGGGTCGTTGTCATGCTGGAAGACCCAGCCACGACCCATCTTCAATGCTCTTACTGAGAGAAGGAGGTTGTTTGGCCAAGATCTTGCGATATATGGCCCCATCCATCCTCCCCTCAATACGGTGCAGTCGTCCTGTCCCCTTTGCAGAAAAGCATCCCCAAAGAATGATGTTTCCACCGCCATGCTTCACGGTTGGGATGGTGTTCTTGGGGTTGTACTCATCCTTCTTCTTCCTCCAAACACGGCGAGTGGAGTTTAGACCAAAAAGCTCTATTTGTCTCATCAGACCACATTACCTTCTCCCATTCCTCCTCTGGTTCATCCAGATGGTCATTGGCAAACTTCAGACGGGCCTGGACATGCGCTGGCTTGAGCAGGGGGACCTTGCGTGCGCTGCAGGATTTTAATCCATGACGGCGTAGTGTGTTACTAATGGTTTTCTTTGAGACTGTGGTCCCAGCTCTCTTCAGGTCATTGACCAGGTCCTGCCGTGTAGTTCTGGGCTGATCCCTCACCTTCCTCATGATCATTGATGCCCCACGAGGTGAGATCTTGCATGGAGCCCCAGACCGAGGGTGATTGACCGTCATCTTGAACTTCTTCCATTTTCTAATAATTGCGCCAACAGTTGTTGCCTTCTCACCAAGTTGCTTGCCTATTGTCCTGTAGCCCATCCCAGCCTTGTGCAGGTCTACAATTTTATCCCTGATGTCCTTACACAGCTCTCTGGTCTTGGCCATTGTGGAGAGGTTGGAGTCTGTTTGATTGAGTGTGTGGACAGGTGTCTTTTATACAGGTAACGAGTTCAAACAGGTGCAGTTAATACAGGTAATGAGTGGAGAACAGGAGGGCTTCTTAAAGAAAAACTAACATGTCTGTGAGAGCCGGAATTCTTACTGGTTGGTAGGTGATCAAATACTTATGTCATGCAATAAAATGCAAATTAATTACTTAAAAATCATACAATGTGATTTTCTGGATTTTTGTTTTAGATTCCGTCTCTCACAGTTGAAGTGTACCTATGATAAAAATTACAGACCTCTACATGCTTTGTAAGTAGGAAAACCTGCAAAATCGGCAGTGTATCAAATACTTATTCTCCCCACTGTATATATATATATATAATGTTTTTTGTTGTTGCCTGTTTTGCATGTTATTTTGGCATTAATACATGTCACATATCAGTTTGCAATAAAGCCGCATACAAACATGGTATCTTTTTTGCTTTCTTGAGTAAGGCAGCTCCAAAATGCAGGTGTTTCAGCTTAGCTCAGTGCTTTCTGTGGTGGTGGGGCAGCCAGCGGAGAATACGGAGCGTATGGGGTTGGTAATGTTCTCTAGTTGCGCCGTGATTGGCTCAGTGTTCTGTTAGTCATGGGGACACTATGTCACCGCCAAATCTACGGGGAGAGCTCGAAAATTCAAGCCCCTTGGGTGCTGCCATAGAGTTACATTAGAAGTGCCCATCCAAGAAGGCTCAAGGTCATTGGTCACAGATAATCACGTTATAACTCTTGAGCGTGCCGTCTTTAGCCAACTCTCTTGCTATCTCTCTCAGAATTACCTTCTTGATCCAAACCAGTCAGGTTTCAAGACTGGTCATTCAACTGAGACTGCTCTTCTCTGTGTCACAGAGGCTCTCCGCACTGCTAAAGCTAACTCTCTCTCCTCTGCTCTCGTCCTTCTAGACCTATCTGCTGCCTTTGATACTGTGAACCATCAGATCCTCCTCTCCACCCTCTCCGAGTTGGGCATCTACGGCGCGGCTCACTCTTGGATTGCATCCTACCTGACAGGTCGCTCCTACCAGGTGGCGTGGCGAGAATCTGTCTCCGCACCACGTGCTCTCACCACTGGTGTCCCCCAGGGCTCAGTTCTAGGCCCTCTCCTATTCTCGCTATACACCAAGTCACTTGGCTCTGTCATATCCTCACATGGCCTCTCCTATCATTGCTACGCAGACGACACACAATTAATCTTCTCCTTTCCCCCTTCTGATAACCAGGTGGCAAATCGCATCTCTGCATGTCTGGCAAACATATCAGTGTGGATGACGGATCACCACCTCAAGCTGAACCTCGGCAAGACGGAGCTGCTCTTCCTCCCGGGGAAGGACTGCTTGTTCCATGATCTCGCCATCACAGTTGACAACTCCGTTGTGTCCTCCTCCCAGAGTGCAAAGGGCCTTGGCGTGACCCTGGACAACACCCTGTCATTCTCCGCTAACATCAAGGCAGTGACCCGATCCTGTAGGTTCATGCTCTACAACATTCGCAGAGTACGACCCTGCCTTACACAGGAAGCGGCACAGGTCCTAATCCAGGCACTTGTTAATAAAAAAGATTATAATAATAAATAAATAAAATGTAAATGTAGTAAGCTGTTAGTAGCCCATGTGCCTCACTATAATAATTTGGTCCCTTTCCCCCTGGTGGAGCACATGTAGCCTATAACCTGTTTTAGATAAATGTAATCATCGAATATTGTAAGAGCTTTCATTGTCTGCTTATATGCCCCCTTTATTTATCCTACGGTTCTGACTTGGTGTACAGGGAGAATACTGCAAGAACGGCCCATGTTCTGAATTCTGTCGCTGTACATTTCAAAAGTGCTGAACAAATAGTTATATTGACTACGTCTGTCCTAGCTTGCTCATTAATGTCTTAATCGAAATTACGGATTGCCTCTTATCCGCTCATCGTCCCCTTATGCCATAGTTTGTACATCTCAATTGTCATTAGAAACCACATTTGTTTAAGCAAGTCAGCCATATCAGCTACACCACCGGTCAAAGGTTTTAGAACACCTACTCATTCAAAGCTGGTTGAGAGAATGCCAAGATTGTGCAAAGCTGTCATCAAGGCAAAGGGTGGCTATTTGAAGAATCTCAAATATAAAATATATTTTAATTTGTTGAACACTTTTTTGGTTACTACATGATTCCATATGTGTTATTTCATAGTTTTGATATCTTCACTATTATTCTACAATGTAGAAAATAGTTTTAAAAAAAGAAAGAAAAAAAGAAAGAAAAACCCTTGAATGAGTAGGTGTTCTAAAACTTTTGACCGGTAGTGTGTTATTTATTTTTTTAAGGCAGTAAATGAGGCTGAATGAACTGTTTCGCTGCCAGACCAGGCTCCGCTGATAGCCAAGTGTAGCATTGGTAAGGGATTCACTCCATGGTACTGAAAAGAAAGCTCTGCTGTTGGGACATCTTTATAAAAACTGTAGGCCCTAGCAGTTTGTGGGCACCGTTTGTCACCGTTATAGTGCAATTAATGTATTGTTTAGTGGCTTTGCTGGCATGCATCTAAAAACATTTTGGGGAGTTTGCCTCATTATGATTTAACATTACATGCTAAAATCGCCACCGTAAATTCCACATTATGTTAACATCTGACTCAGTGTGAGCTTAAGTTAGCAACTTCTGCTAGTAGGTAGCTGGCTGGCTGGCTATGTGGCTGTTTTGAGAAACATAAAAACTTTTCAAGCTTAACTAGCTAATTATCTTCCATTAAGCGTCTGAGTCACAAACCTTTTATGTCAGCTGTAGAAGTTGAAGCCATCATCAAAAAGCATTGTGGCAAGCTGTAGCTAGCTAAAGCACAGGCAGACAAGCTAGCTAGTAAGACAAGTCTCTTCACTCTCTGGCACAGACATTGGTCAGGCAGTAAGTTAACGGTTAGCTAACTTAACACTAGATAGCTAAATTATTTAGTATTTTGACGGGACAGTAATGTGCATAGTTAAAAAATATAGCTAGTTAGTAGATTACTAGATCTTTGAGACATATCTTGCCCGTACTTGCCACGGTGGGCGTCCCTAGCTAGCAAGCGTTCTGTTTATCTAGCTTAAGCATTCGGCGTCGCATTTTCCACAATCACCCTGGCTGCCAAAATACTAATTGTCCATTTAAACGAAACTAATAGTAAAACCAAAAGAAAATATAATTAAACGTTTTATGTATTTTTTTTCGAAATATCTAAAAGTGAACATTTATTATTGCTTTAAGATTTTAATAGAAAGTGCTACATGTTGTACAATTTAAGCACAGTGGAAGGGAACACTGACGCAACCAAATCAAACCAAGTCTACACAACAAGTGTAGACTTTACTGTGAAACGCTAACTTACAACCTCTTTCCCAAAGATGCAGAGTTAAAAATAAGAAAATAAAAACAAGAGGAATAATATACACAAGAATTAACCTATATACAGGGAGTACCAGTACCATATTTATGTGCAGGGATATGAAGTAGTTGAGGTAGATATCAGGATAGATAATAATAAGAGTAAAACAATCTAAAGTAGCAGCAGCGAATATGATGACTGTATGTTCGAAAGTGTATGTACAGTTGAAGTCACAAGTTTACATATACCTTAGCTAAATACATTTAAACTCAGTTTTTCACAATTCCTGACATTTATTCCTAGTAAAAAATTCCCTGTCTTAGGTCAGTTAGGATCACCCGTTTATTTTAAGAATGTGAAATGTCAGAATAATAGTAGAGAGAATGATTTATTTCAGCTTGTATTTCTTTCATCACATTCCCAGTTGGTCAGAAGTTTACATACACTCAATTAGTATTTGGTAGCATTTCCTTTAAATTGTTTAACTTGGGTCAAACGTTTCGGGTAGCCTTCCACAAGCTTCCCACAATAAATTGGGTGAATTTTGGCACAATCCTCCTGACAGGGCTGGTGTAACTGAGTCAGGTTTGTAGGTCTCCTTGCTCGCACACGCTTTTTCAGTTCTGCCCACAAATTTTCTCCAAAAAATATGATATTTGTCCCCATATGCAGTTGCAAACCGTAGTCTGGCTTTCTTATGGCGGTTTTGGAGCGGTGGCTTCTTCCTTGCTGAGCGGCCTTTCAGGTTATGTCGATATAGGACTCGTTTTACTGTGGATATAGATACTTTTGTAGCTGTTTCCTCCAGCATCTTCACAAGGTCCTTTGCTGTTGTTCTGGGATTTATTTGTACTTTTCGCACCAAAGTACGTTCATCTCTAGGAGACAGAACACGTCTCCTTCCTGAGCGGTATGACGGCTGCGTGGTCCCGTGGTGTTTATACTTGCGTACTATTGTTTGTACAGATGAACGTGGTACCTTCAGGCGTTTGGAAATTGCTCCCAAGTACGAACCAGACTTGTGGAGGTCTACATTTTTTTTCTGAGGTCTTGGCTGATTTATTTTGATTTTCCCATGATGTCAAGCAAAAAGGCACTGAGTTTGAAGGTAGGCCTTGAAATACATCCACAGGTACAGTGAGGGAAAAAAGTATTTTATCCCCTGCTGATTTTTTACGTTTGCCCACTGACAAAGAAATGATCAGTCTATAATTTTAATGGTAGGTTTGTTTGAACAGTGAGAGACAGAATAACAACAAAAAAATCAAGAAAAACGCATGTCAAAAATGTTATAAATTGATTTGCATTTTAATGAGGGAAATAAGTATTTGACCCCCTCTCAATCAGAAAGATTTCTGGCTCCCAGGTGTCATTTATACAGGTAACGAGCTGAGATTAGGAGCACACTCTTAAAGGGAGTGCTCCTAATCTCAGTTTGTTACCTGTATAAAAGACACCTGTCCACAGAAGCAATCAATCAATCAGATTCCATACTCTCCACCATGGCCAAGTCCAAAGAGCTCTCCAAGTATGTCAGGGACAAGATTGTAGACCTACACAAAGCTGGAATGGGCTACAAGACCATCACCAAGCAGCTTGGTGAGAAGGTGACAACAGTTGGTGCGATTATTCGCAAATGGAAGAAACACAAAATAACTGTCAATCTCCCTCAGCCTGGGGCTCCATGCAAGATCTCACCTCGTGGAGTTGCAATGATCATGAGAACAGTGAGGAATCAGCCCCGAACTACACGAGAGGATCTTGTCAATGATCTCAAGGCAACTGGGACCATAGTCACCAAGAAAACAATTGGTAACACGCTACGACGTGAAGGACTGAAATCATGCAGCGCCCGCAAGGTCCCCCTGCTCAAGAAAGCACATATACAAGGCCGTCTGAAGTTTGCCAATGAACATCTGAATGATTCAGAGGAGAACTGGGTGAAAGTGTTGTGGTCAGATGAGACCAAAATCGAGCTCTTTCGCATCAACTCAACTTGCCGTGTTTGGAGGAGGAGGAATGCTGCCTATGACCCCAAGAACACCATTCCCCACCATCAAACATGGAGGTGGAAACATTATGCTTTGGGGGGTGTTTTTCTGCTAAGGGGACAGGACAACTTCACCGCATCAAAGGGAGCCAGGGCATTGAAAATGGGTCGTGGATGGGTATTCCAGCATGACAATGACCCAAAACACATGGCCAAGGCAACAAAGGAGTGGCTCAAGAAGAAGGACATTAAGGTCCTGGAGTGGCCTAGCCAGTCTCCAGACCTTAATCCCATAGAAAATCTGTGGAGGGAGCTGAAGGTTCGAGTTGCCAAATGTCAGCCTCGAAACCTTAATGACTTGGAGAAGATCTGCAAAGAGGAGTGGGACAAAATCCCTCCTGACATGTGTGCAAACCTGGTGGCCAACTACAAGAAACATCTGACCTCTGTGATTGTCAACAAGGGTTTTGCCACCAAGTACTAAGTCATGTTTTGCAGAGGGGTCAAATACTTACAGTGGGGAAAAAAAGTATTTAGTCAGCCACCAATTGTGCAAGTTCTCCCACTTAAAAAGATGAGAGAGGCCTGTAATTTTCATCATAGGTACACGTCAACTATGACAGACAAAATGAGAGAAAAAAATCCAGAAAATCACATTGTAGGATTTTTTATGAATTTATTTGCAAATGATGTTGGAAAATCAGTATTTGGTCAATAACAAAAGTTTCTCAATACTTTGTTATATACCCTTTGTTGGCAATGACACAGGTCAAACGTTTTCTGTAAGTCTTCACAAGGTTTTCACACACTGTTGCTGGTATTTTGGCCCATTCCTCCATGCAGATCTCCTCTAGAGCAGTGATGTTTTGGGGCTGTCGCTGGGCAACACAGACTTTCAACTCCCTCCAGAGATTTTCTATGGGGTTGAGATCTGGAGACTGGCTAGGCCACTCCAGGATCTTGAAATGCTTCTTACGAAGCCACTCCTTCGTTGCCCGGGCGGTGTGTTTGGGATCATTGTCATGCTGAAAGACCCAGCCACGTTTCATCTTCAATGCCCTTGCTGATGGAAGGAGGTTTTCACTCAAAATCTCACGATACATGGCCCCATTCATTCTTTCCTTTACACGGATCAGTCGTCCTGGTCCCTTTGCAGAAAAACAGCCCCAAAGCATGATGTTTCCACCCCCATGCTTCACAGTAGGTATGGTGTTCTTTGGATGCAACTCAGCATTCTTTGTCCTCCAAACATGACGAGTTATGTTTTTACCAAAAAGTTATATTTTTGTTTCATCTGACCATATGACATTCTCCCAATCTTCTTCTGGATCATCCAAATGCACTCTAGCAAACTTCAGACGGGTCTGGACATGTACTGGCTTAAGCAGGGGGACACGTCTGGCACTGCAGGATTTGAGTCCCTGGCGGCGTAGTGTGTTACTGATGGTAGGCTTTGTTACTTTGGTCCCAGCTCTCTGCAGGTCATTCACTAGGTCCCCCCGTGTGGTTCTGGGATTTTTGCTCACCGTTCTTGTGATCATTTTGACCCCACTGGGTGAGATCTTGCGTGGAGCCCCAAAAATCGAGGGAGATTATCAGTGGTCTTGTATGTTTTCCATTTCCTAATAATTGTTCCCACAGTTGATTTCTTCAAACCAAGCTGCTTACCTATTGCAGATTCAGTCTTCCCAGCCTGGTGCAGGTCTACAATTTTGTTTCTGTTGTCCTTTGACAGCTCTTTGGTCTTGGCCATAGTGGAGTTTGGAGTGTGACTGTTTGAGGTTGTGGACAGGTGTCTTTTATACTGATAACAAGTTCAAACAGGTGCCATTAATACAGGTAACGAGTGGAGGACAGGGGAGCCTCTTAAAGAAGAAGTTACAGGTCTGTGAGAGCCAGAAATCTTGCTTGTTTGTAGGTGACCAAATAGTTATTTTCCACCATAATTTGCAAATAAATTCATAAAAAATCCTACAATGTGATTTTCTGGCTTTTTTTTCCTCAATTTGTCTGTCATAGTTGACGTGTACCTATGATGAAAATTACAGTCCTCTCTCATCTTTTTAAGTGGGAGAACTTGCACAATTGGTGGCTGACTAAATACTTTTTTTCCCCACTGTAAATGGGGGATACAATCTTCCCAGCTCTGCAAATTTTGCTGCGAAGAGACAGAATTATTAGATCATTTGTTTTGGTACTGTCCATTTGTAGCTTGTTTTTGGTCACAGGTTCAGGAATGGCTGAAGGATTACAACATTTACCTGTAGTTAACTCTGCAAATAGCACTGCTGGGTGATCTGAAAGTCATAGTCAATCGATCAATAATATAATAATACTTTTAGCAAAAATGTTTATTTTCAATTTACAATCTGTAGAAACAATGAGAAGGGTTCAGAACTTTTGTGAAACATCACAGTACATTTGAAAAATATATGGCAAATAGAAATCCAATATGGATGGTGTTAAGAGATAGACGGGAGGCGTTGAATGGAGCTAATAACAACTTAACAACAACTAATAACAACAAGAGAACTAATGTAAAGCATACTGTGTCCATAATAAGTATATAGGTTATAGGTTGAGAGCTTTTGTGAAAGAGCACAGTTAGAAAGATTAGCATATAGAAGCAAACCGCATGGACATCATGAAAATGATCGGAGAGGTTGAGGGTAGAGGA